CTACTGAAATATATTCAATGCCCAACCATCATTACATACTACTACTCATAACCCACAATACAGTAACACCAGGTTTGGAAAGTACAAAAGCAGATTACTTGTAAGTAAACTTAGGCAGAAAACACCAGATGATTCTGCCCAAGTACTTAAAAGTTTCCATATCTTTCAGAGCTTCTCCATCAAGCAAGATTTTGTCGGTGCTGTCTTTATGACATTTCAAGATTTCGCTATTCTCCTTGTGTTTGTTGAGGTCTATCGCTGCAGAGACTGCTACAATGTAGCAAACACATATGGTGTAAATTCACTTTTTATTCAACATATAATATTTGTTCAGCCATTGTTAACCAGTTCATTGATAACTGGGACGACAGACCATATAAGTACACGGAATGTTAGGTAAGTTACTTTACCGGCGAGAGTGAATGTCATGGATTCGATTATCAGTTTGCAGGGTCATGAATATGCACTGCTGAATCCCATCTTAGGGTGGAACACCGTCTAGTGCTTTAAGGTTTTATATTATTTAAGAGAGATCAGTTAGTGATAGCAATGAAATTCAAAAACCCCCACAACGCCAAGTCGGCAATGTGGAGGACCTAAAGTATGATTCCAACAGCTTGGAAAAATTAAAATGATCACATTTTTCTATAAACATTTTGCTTTTGTACAAGACCCTTAGCCTTTGAGTGTTTTATAAAGTCTTCAGTAGCGGTTGGTGGGTTTTGTTACAATCAGTTAGATTCAAATTCTTTTCTTTAAAATTCCTAAGTACTGAATTTGTTTTTAATGCTGCATAACCATAACCTTATGCTGAAAAACGACATTGTATTTCAATAAAACACAATTCGAATTTATGTCTGAAGTTTTTCCATCGTTTCTGTTCATAAATGGATTAGTTGGTCTCTACTGTTTAATGAACTTCCTATTTAAATGCTATTTCATTGTGTAGATATGCGAGTTACGTATATAAATCAGAAAATGAGCATTTGAATAATGTGGAATTGTTGCAATTTCCTAAGGTAAAAGCATGGTACAAGTACATGTGACTAGGATCAGTAATGAGACTATTAATGCAAAACTAAATACAATGCTTAACGCGTAATAGAAACATCATAGTATATCACTCAGAAGATTTAAAATAGTAATGAAAATTTATTATCTACCAACATGTGGTAAAGTTGGTTATGTTAACCGTTTCAAGTGCTCAGTATTTTCCATATTGGATTGCTTGTAATAAGAGAGTAGATAATGCCCACAAATTTTAATCCTAAGTTTCCATTCACGGAACCGAACTTATTTTGTTGATATCATAGTTTTTGGAGACTCATTGATATACACACTTAAAGAACAGTTTGCTAATATCGCTCGTGTCATTTAGTGCTAGAAACTTTAACCGTAATCTCCAAAGGCTAATTATTATCTCTAACCTTAATCAAGAACAGTGTGAAGATTTTCAAAATTCTATTTAGACCTTAACAGAGGTTCGAGGAAACTGAATATCTATAACCACGTGGATGAATTTATATGTCTCCGTTTTTTCTTTTAACAAGAGCGAAAACCTGTAAAGGAATGAAGTCGATCCAATATTTATGTGGAATCTGTTTACGACTTAAAGTATTTTTATTTTTATTTCCACAAACTACCTATCTATAAAAGGTATTTCTTGGTTGTCTAAAAACTGGCTGAAAACATATATTTCAGCTCATACTATATCCTATCTATTACCTCTCTAATCTGTGTTTTAGTTGTCTGTGACAATGGTCTAAGGCTTTGGTCAGAATGTTACGTTATTAACAGACTCCTCTACCTAACTGCCAACATTTGGTAACTACATTCTTTTCTCAATGAGAGTAACCTTCAATAGGATGTTGGTTCGATTATTTTGACACAACGGTTCTGGAAATCTTGTGGATGACATGAAATTTTTATGGAAATTTATTGTAGTAGGTTCGGAAATCGGCAACAATGTTTATAAATACTTTGTAAAATACCCATTATTTAGTATTTGAATATAATTTGTGGATGCAATGTACTTTTATGGCCACGTGTTGTCCTCCATACCATTGAAATATTTCCTCTACCAGCGAAAAATTATAGCACATGAAGTGTCATAAGATTTATACTAGTCCTTCTGGTAGTTAGAGTTAGAAGAGTCAATACTGCCATAAAAGGTAAAAAGTGAAGTAGAATATGCGGTAACAGTATCGCTAGACATCCATCCAATACTATGTTCGTTTGATTCAAACAACCCTTGATTTGTCTGGCTATCAGGTGTCTACTCATTTTTTTTTGAACAAACTTGTGGTCGAAAATTAAAGAAAAAATAAAAGAACGGTCTAACGAAACATAATTTTTTTATCTTGAGGGAGTTGACCATTTTTATGTTTGTTAACATGTTGGAGTTTTCGCAGTGGATATTATGTCGCAGGTGTTCACCTTGATATCCTTTCACGTTTTCGCAAAATTGTACTGGTGCTTATTGGTGCAAAATCTGAAAAACTAGCTGGCTTGGCAACTACCTTTTTGATGTGAAGCGATAAATAAGAGAATAGTGATGAACAACGGAATATATTTCGTGGAACATTGTTTCATCTAATCCAAGGTCTAAAAATACTAACATTTAGTTTCATCTCCGGTTTATTCCATAAGTCATAGGCTTTCATTTGATGTACCCTGCTGTACTCTGCCTTATTCTAAAATTATTGTAATTTAAACGTAATCCTTTAGACCTCACTGTTCTACCCTGATTCTTAATTTGGATATAGTTCTATTTTTGAATTCTTTGTTTGTTTTAGTCATTCTGGATGCCGAATTATTTTCGTCTTTTTAATTATTCTGAATCAGAGATAAACCGACTAGTATTCCGGTCAACCAGTCTTTTAATCTCTCGCTCATCAAGAAAATATTTTTCCTCTTTCGCCTCCTAAGGCTTTTTAGTCACAAATCGGACTCATTTATTACTAACCTCAAGGCTGAACTAGGTAGCTTATTGTACCAGGTCCTTAGACTAGATCAGGACAAACTCTTTCCTGTACGTTAGTGGACGGATGGACCAAGGATGTAGCGAGCCTACATGTATCATCCATGTTAGCTAACGATATTTGCAAATCTTAACGACCTGCCGCCCTTCAAGTTCAGTAGAACTGTGCATCTCGTAGCTCTCATATGGTTGTTAATTTGAAGGAATTACTAGATAACTTAGGTAGCATATATGATAACGCAAATAGAATAAATATTAAAAATGATTGGGGTTCTGAATAAGGACGGCACAAAATTAAGAGATGAAAATTACTTCTGGCTACTTATAATATAATCCGATGATTTTTTCAGTCCATAGTGACATTTCCAAAGTTTCAACAAATATCCACATGCAACAGAAGTTTCTTTTTAAATACTGCTTAATAGACAACAAAGGCTCTTTTTTAAAGGGACGAGTTGAATTTTCTCTGCAACTTGCAGAGGAATATAGATTATTTGTTGTTCCAGTTTGGCTATGTTCATGAAGAAGCTTCAGTAGTTTTTAATCAGCAAAATGCGAATCACTAGTGTGAAAGGAATACATGGATAGTAGGGAACTGTTGGAGTTGGGCGTGAGAAATGTGATCTCTGTCGATATCATAGCTCTAAGCTGGTGACTAACCTGAAGTAACTTTACGTGGTACTCATGTGTTCCACGACTAATTTGATTACTATATATAATAAACACGCTACTATTGAAGGAATGCGTGGGTAAAACTAAGTAAAAGGAGATCAGAGTGAAATCACTACCGCGTGAAATAATCGATAATGTGCAACTGATCGAACACGTTAGACAGTCATGACCTTGGCGATGATTGACAAACTGCACAATGCCAAGTGTGATCTGCCGTGTAAGGTAGAGAAGGTCCAGCCTAATGATTAATTTGGTTAAAATAAAGTGACATTCCACTGGCCCTACAAAATTAGAATGAAAGCTTAATCTTCAATATGAAACTTTAGCTGCAAATAATTACCCAAAATCAATAGCTCCTACACTTGTAGTCCTCAAAACGACAGCCGACACACACCTCGATGCTTCGTCAACGTCGGAAAATAAACTTAAGAGCGTAAGATTTCCAGAAAATTTAAACGACTATTGCACGTAGGATTTAAACTTTATCTCGAATTCCCCTTGCATTATTTATTATTAAAAATTTTTTTTCTTATGCTCATTTTTACATGTTTATTCCAAAAAACAAAAAAAACAATATTTTTAGTTATGGGCGTATATATTTTTTTAGGGGGGGAGTGATCTGTAGCTGTAAATAGTTCCCCAAAATCAATAGCTTTTTAAGTGTTCGACATTGGATGCTGCCCACATTAGTTTTAGTGGACTTGTTTTACTGAAGGCGTTCGGTTATGCATCCGTACCAGATCACGTTACAGCTCGGCGTGGGAAACATCTCCTACGTTCACTGGCCAGATTAGAGCAACCGCTCTCGATATATTGATAACGCATCAAATATATCTTTTCAACCTCTTCGCATCTGAATTCTGATCTTAACTAAGTGAGGGACGATTCGGATATGGGAGGTGTTACTGGTTAATAGTTGTCAAACTACAATACTGGTAGTATCTTCAAAACGAACTATCCTTCAAGCACACATCATAAGTAATCTGCGATTTGTGGAGAGGCGAATTTTCTCCATAGTACCTGGTTTTGGCTTGGGACACATATGCGATTGATTCGACACTAAGCTGAACGCTTAAACTATCAAATTCCACTTGAAGCCCTGGCTTATGATGTTTCGTTTCATTTGCCATACTACATTTGCAATCAAAAATTTTATTTTGAGACTTTAGACACTACCAATCAGTTCTGAATTACAAAGATGCTCGTGCAAATGCAATTTAGAGTGCATTTTACATGAACAGAAACTTCAACTTCTTATGTCACACTGACGGTGTTTGAATATTTCAACATTGCCACTATTTTATGGTACTTCTTTTGAGCGGACTATTCAACCCTCTTTTTATCATTCATGTATTTTGGAGGTTTTTTTGCAATTACGTCGCTGAATTATGTTATACTTATTTTTCTTTCCCTCTGGACATCTGTGTTTAGCAACTTCTTTGACATTCCAGTTGTAGAAAACGTTAAATATTCTGAGAATCACTCAGAATTATTTGATGAGTCGACTGGTTTTTCTTATGATCCTATGAGTCCCTTGGTTAAATGCTCTTATCTTCCTCGTCATTCCATTTGGTGTGAACCTCCCTTAGGTGGGTACCTTGTTAACTGTAATATCTGTTAGATTTAAGGAATAATAAGTCCCAATATGATGAATTGAAATACGGATGCTTAAAATGGGGCGGAAAAGCAGCAGATTCAGTTGTGCTCACATCAATTGTGTGTCATGCTTTGGACAATATTGAGTGCTATGGGAATCGTACTTTCTTGTTACCTGATTTTCCCTGTCTTCATTACAAAGGACATTACTTTGTAACAACATTCATATACAGCTTATTACTAGGATTTCTTGGTGTTGATCGACTATGTCTGGGTCATACAGGTACAGGCCTCGGTAAACTCCTAACATTGGGTGGGGCCGGTATTTGGTGGATAGTGGATATCGTTCTTCTCATTCGTGGTGATTTGGGTCCAGCTGATGGAAGTTCCTGGATGCCATTTTACTAGACCTATGTAAAATTGCTCATTAAAAAACTTAATTCCTACTGTCTTGCTTTGTTTTTAAGGTATTGGCTGGTCTAAAAATCACATACAGTATTAATTTAAATGTCGGGAAGTGATTTTCGTCTGCTTGATGATGACACTCAGTTCATGGACAAGTATCCTAATGGGCTTTCTTTGGTTGATTTGCTGCCATTTTACGACTCCATATCTAATAATGAACCGCTTAAATTAGAATGGGTTTGTCCAGGGAAAATCGATCCTAACGTTCAGAGGGAAAGTGAGTTTGATTCAAAGTTAGGAAATAATTTGTTCTATGGTACTTACCCCTAAATAATTTTTTTCAGTAATTTGTGTAGCTTATCGTTTACTGCCTTTACGGGAGTTGGAACTCCTGGACACAATATACTCCATTCAAATTAAAATGTGCCTGGCCATCTATTTGTTGATAAGGAACTTGTTGCGTACGAATATCTTTTCCAATTAAGATGTTCTCGCCAACGTCTTCACAAGTGTTTAAGGAATAACTCTGAATTTCTAGTCAACTGTTTTGGATGTAAATGATCCTAGATGACATTGAGCTAAACCAGTCCATCACACATATTACTGCTCTCTATTCCTCTTATCTTTTATACACTGGTTTACTCTATTCTTTTTTGCTAGTTACCTGTGTCCTTGTCTTAGAAAAATGTCCTACCTTTGATCGTTTATGAGTTCCTAATGTCAAGACGTTTGGGTAGTTGTAATGAACTCAGTCGTGATAATTAGTTGTTTAGTAACTTCGCCTCAATTACTTTTGGATGCTTCCTTTAAAAGCCGATTCCTCCATGCTTCTTGATTTTATAAAATAGTGAGATGACGGATAATAATCGGATCCAAAGTATCTGACATGTTGATTGTGGCAGAGTCAGTCAGTTGCAACGTAGGACCAGGAACATAGGTCCATCAGTCCAAGCTGCCATACTTCATAAGCATGACAATATGAACATCAAATTCATCGAAGCAGTTACTTCAGTGGTAGTAAAAAAAAGATTCCATATAAGGATACGATTCAGGAAAAAAGAATTAGTTCGTAGAAAGAAAGGTATAAACTGATTTTGATCTCAACGTCTGAGGGAAGACATAGAGTGTGTACACCTACGCCATTGTGATCGATTCTAAGCCAGGTCACCCAGAGTCCCCAACCAAGTAGTTTGCATTTACCAACATTGCTCAGACCAGAAGTTAGTGACTCTATGGACTGCCATGTTTTGGTTTGGCCGCCTCAAACTCTCTTCCATCTGTCTCCAACATTAGTCAGCATTGCGTGCCGTGGTAATCGGTGATTGGGCATGTATAATACATGGCTCAATCATCTCAGTCGATGTAGATTCACAACATCAACTGAAACCATCATTCCCTAATACCCTGCGTCTCACGTCACTACTACTTATCCGATGATCACAGTAGATGCAGACAGTATTTCCGAAACATCTATGATCAAATACTAGTAACTTACGAGTATCTTCCACCCTTAATGGCCACGTCTCGCAGCCGTAAAGTAAAACAAATTGTTGTGCAGTATACTTGTTCCCTAATTTATGGACGGATATCTCGCCTTCGCCATAGGTGACGTAAGTTGGCGAAAGCCAAACGAGTTTTTTGCTGATCACCAGTCTCTAGCTTAACGTAGCTATTGATTCATAAGTTTAAAAACAGGATAGCCACTTAAGGACTGTCATTTCTCCACACTGAATTCTCAGGCCACTTTTTGTAATGATAGGTTGTGTATCCTTGAAATAGCAAACTTTAGAATGAGTTTATGAGGTAAAACTGGAGCAATAGAACTAATGTTCTGCTTTATTCCACTATATGATATGCAATGCTTAAAACAGTTCTACATCCGTACATACATATCTACTGTTTAGAATTTTGGGCGAAAAATTATGTGGCATGATATCTAGGTAACGCTGGGTTCTTCGAGTGAAGCACTTAAAGGCCGAGATGTAAATAGTAAGATCTCGTTTGTACTTTGCGAGCAAATAAGAAGTCAAGGTGTTTATTTGGCTTAAATCTCGGCCGGATTTTTATATTTCCACTAAAGAAAGAGGTTAATTTGGTCATTTATTCTAGAAATACTATTTAAATAATGCTTAGGTCGAAATTTCTATACTGCTTGCATTAAATGTCATTCCCCATACTAAAATAATAAGTGTTTGAATCATACGATAAAACTTGGATGAATTTTCCGTATAGCAGCCAGAACTTTCGTTACGTTGTGTACTTAATTGAGCAGTTTACTCTTCCATAACTAATAGTAAACCAAACCCTTCTTGATCGAGATGAGCCCCCTAAAGATAGGATAAACTAATCAACAAAACATACTGTTTCGTTTTACAACTGTTCGTTATGTAACACCATATTTTATCATATTAGGACTGTTAACCAACAGGAAGTGTTTTCGTAGACTAGCCTGACGTCTTTGATCACGCTCGCCATGACCATATATAACATTCGTAACTCATTTCTCAGCCAAGCTGGTGAAGATACCTTGCTCATAGTTACTCACTAGGTTGTCCCACCAAATACGATCAATGTTTTGAAGATATATTCAGTCGAATACTCATCTGCCCATATCCAATACCGTAGCCCATGTTCCTCACCCATAAGTGAATATGTGGAGTTTTTGCAGAAGTTGGCAAAAACTCCAGCGTCTTTGTATCTGTTGAGATTGAGGGGAGTGAAGTACACAGTGCACTCGATTATATTACTCTTTTTGGTTAAACCACAAAGGGAAACACCAGCATATTCTGCAACAACCTAATCTGCATTAGATGTTAGATAGTCTTTGAAATTAAAGATGCGTGAATTGTATTCGGTTTTATGTCTTCATGGTAATGGTCACTTATAATGGACCCATGAAACAAGCAATACAAGTGTACTATCATAAAACAATCGAATAGCGTGGTTGGGATGCATTACTATCTACCACTGAGTAGTATGTGAGCTGATTCGGAACAACATATCCTTGTTTATAAGTGATACTTTTTATTCGTTAGTTAAAACAACCTGACTCGTTCTAGTCTTCTTTTTTTTTGTATTAATCTCTATTTTTGTCACAATTCATGTCCAGCCTGATTATTATTCTTTACTACTAGGTTCTACATACATATCTTCCGGTTCACACAGTTGGTTGCACTGTTTTTTCTTGATAGCTTTTAATTTGAGCCGTAGCTTGTTTAACCATTTTTTCTTCATATGGTACAAACTGATATGTAACAGGGTAAGGATAAAGCTTGATAGTTAGGCACTACTTTTGGAGGGTCGATGACCCATAGTTATCATATCCTAAAATCGTTTATTTGTTAAATGACTCATAACCGTGTTTATTATTGTGTTCAGTATTTTGTATATGAGCATTTTATTTAGTTGAAAAAAGACCTATTTTGCTAAGCAATTAACTATGTTGTCTGATATCAGTCCAATTGGAGAATCACATCAATAATTTGTTCTCGTAAGTAGTAATCACACGATCACCTCGGATGATTGCATACCACCTATTGACTAGCATTGGATTCATTCACTTAGTGCAAACGCCCGTTCAGAAAAACCTTATAATGCGAACTGATAAAACCATTAATACTTCTTGTTAGCTACAATTACGATCCATTTGTACTTTAAAATCGTCACTATTCTATTTTACTCTCATCAATTCTCTTGTGGTTAACTGTAGATATTCAATATTCCTTTTTCTTCATTTTCTTAAAAAAACTTTATAGCAACCAAAATTCGTACTGAAACAAATGATAATCCTGTCCCAAAGGTTTCTGAATCCTTGACTAGTATTGTAAAGTTAAAAGAGTTCGACTTCGATGAGTCTCCGAATCAACCATCTATTCATTCAGTTCCACTTGGTGCTGCTGCTCAAAATGCAAACTTACCACTTAGACGTCTAGCAGGCACTTCCAGACATCCACCTCGCCAACCCCGTGTAGCTAGTATGGATAAAATATTAAATGACTTTTTCAAAGCACGCAAAGAACCTTCTTCCTCTGCAGTTGTGACTGAAATACACACTCCATCTATTACTGCACATTGTATTCCATCGTCTGGAATTTCTCAGGCAACTAATATTTCCAATGAGACAAACAACAGCAATAATAATAATAACTCCGAACAAGATAAACAAGAAGCCCTTGCTGTCGAACTAGCTAAAGCTTCAGTGTCACCACAAGTTTATAATCATCCAGATAATATACCTTCAGACTTCACGCCACACGACAATTCTAATGTACAAATTACCTCAAGTGATCAGGTTTCTGCTCCTGTTGTAAACATTTGTGATGAAAGAATAATGGAATGTCATAAATTAGAATGTACTGATCTTTATGTCAATAACGCTAATTCTTCCGATTACTCTGCTATAAATGTTTCAGACATCTCAATCACTTCTGTTAGTGTAAATAATATGTCCCAAAGTGAGAATGAGACGCCACATTAAGGCTACTTAATAGTTGTGGTGTAAATTTTCAGTTAATAGAATATATTTTCAAACTCTGCTAACTAAATAATCGCATTTTTGTGAGATATTTATCCAACGGAAATACAAATGCGTAACTGTACATATAATTTTTGTACACTGGGTACGTTTTATGTAATTTTTTTCCTGTTATCTAAATAAATAATTGACAGGTATTCACATTTGTTCGTTATTGTTATCATTTGGCACCACGAGAAAACCCGAGATCGTTTGAAATACTTCTACAGTCTAATAAGTTTAAACCGACACATCAAAATTGATTTCATCAACAGTAGGGATTTAAGTAGTTAAATCCCGTATGGGTATGAGGCCGTGGTTAGGATACCGAAAGCTTAGCTAACATCTCCGAAATTGCATAATCTGAGGCATACACATGCCCTTAGAAACAAGCATGAAGCTTCCTAGATTTCATACTTTACTATGTGGAAGTGAGTATTGGAAAGCAGTGTGATAAAACTCATTTTGAAAATATAATACATAAGTCGACTGACTTAGTGTTAGGTAGAAAAGGTAATCAGCAGTTAAGTTCGTGACCTAGCAACAAATGGGGGTACTACATCATATTTGAACGACGTTAACTACAACAAAACTGGAGAGAACTCTCAAAAAAGTTGTCAAAATGTATTGTCGTTTCGTAACTGTGAACTAGTCATCTGCAAAGAATAAAGTCTAAGACTTCTTTTGGTAACTCTCCTTAGTCTTCTCAAGACAGTATTAAATAATTCTATTTAATAATGACTATCGATATATTTCCAACATCCTAATATGCTGTTTTGTCAGTGTTTTTTCCGACACTTTCTTCCTGAACAACATCACTGATACAAATCGTCCTCATGAGTTGCAAATCTCTATCATCTCGAAGTACTACTGTGGTGTGGGTCACTTATATCTACATAAGTAGTATATGGTTATCGTCAGGCGTAAAATGTGTTTTGGCAGAAAATCGATAAGGAAAGAACAGGAACAAAGCGCAATCGGTATGGAAATGCATGAACTGATGGAAGAAGATGGACTGATATTTGCAGAAGGGACAGTCAAGATTGAGACAATTGGTTGTTATTTTGTAGATTAACTGTTTACTGTATGGTTGTCAGAATTTAGTGAGATAGTCTGTAATTTGTGCTTAAGTATATCTGATTGTCCCCACCCGCGTTCTTGTTCACTATACTACACTATATCTTAGTCCCAATAGAAATGTAACGGGTAAGTCCGATACAATGTGCAATTGACTTGGTGTTTCTATGATAATTCGACCCTGTTCATCGTGAGGTTCTATGGCAGTGTTTGTCACTGAAAGGAGTACCAAAGAAGTATATTAACCTTATAAAGGCTCTCTACTCGAACACAACTGGTTGAGTTACGGCCTACGGCGAACTATCATCAGAATTGATTACCTCAAGTGGTGTTCGTCAGGGCTGTCCACTCTCCTTTCTTGTTTAACTTAGTCGTCGACATGCTTTTAGAGATAACACTCATCATCTGAATCTCAAGGGGTTGGACTTTTACCGGGAGGCTCACCTGTTGACTTAGAATACGCCGATGACATAGTTTTATTTGAAGACGCTGATAAAATGAAAAGTCTAATGAACCACTATAAGCAACAATGTAGGCATGTTCGGGATGCAATTCTCTTTCTCGAAGTGCAAAATGTTACTTCAAGATTGGGTTGCATCGGCACCTGAACTAATGATAGGGAGTGAAGTAGTTGAGCGTGTCGATCGCTTCACTTATCTTGGGAGTCTCATCAACCCTTGTGGTCTGGTGTGTGACTAAATCTTAGCACGGATACAGAAGGCTCGTCTAGCTTTCGCCAACTTGCGTCACTTATGGCGTAGGCGAGATATCCGTCTACCAACCAAAGGACAGGTTTACTGCGCAGCAGTTCGTTCCGTTCTACTTTATGTCTCTGAAACATGGCCAGTAAGAGTAGAGGGTATTCGTAGGCTACTAGTATTCGATCATAGGTGTCTTCGAAGCATTACTCGTATATCCTGGGTCCACTCAGTAAGTAATACAATTGTTAGGAAACGGGTACTAGGTAAGGATGACAAACCGATTGATGAAGTAGTGAAACTTCAACAGTTGAGATGGCTGGGACATGTGTTACGTGTGCCCAACCACCGACGCGCAATGTTTTATGGTGTAAGAGTAGGCTGGAAGAAAGCTAGAGGCGGCCAGATCAAAACGTAGCACAGATCCATGAAGTCACTGACAAGTGAACTGAGCCATGTTAGTAGGTGTAGACTACCTGGCTGAGATCCGCAAGATTATAACAACCGATGGTTAGAGACCTTGAATGATGTGGCTCAAAATCGTTTGCAATGGCGAAGGTGCATCCAGTCTTTGTGTTCTACCAAATTCTAATTCTCTGAATTCCTCATGTCCCTATCCATTTTCTCTTTTCAAATTTATTTCACTGTATTATACTCCTTCAATAACATCTTCAAACCCTAATCTTTCATATAATGCTTATACTCTTACTATCTCTACCACTATGGGATTTGAATCGACAACTGCATCTCTGTGCTAATGTGGTATGGCAACTCGAACTGATGTACGTACGTACGGAGTCCAACGTTGTGACTGACTGACTTTGTTGAAAAGTCAGATGTAAATAGATTAAATTGTTCAACATTATTCTGCACAAACGTGCATTGAACATTGACAATATTAAAAATCAAAGGTAATAAGCAGCCGATATAAATCTCAACCCACCTGAACAACGACTGTTTTGCGATGTACATGAGTATATCGGATGAATAGACGATATATATATATATATATATATATATATATATATATATATATATATAGGCGTGAATTTATAGATTTTAGTCATAATAGAGAAAATTAGCTACTATTGTATGGTGTAATTACCGCTATGACGTATAGATCCACATTTATTCATGCTGACATATCTCGACAATCATAATATTAGTCATGATAAAAATCACTCACCATATAATGACAAGCAAACACAATCATATTGACAACAATCTATCAGTGTTCTCACAGATGAATCAAGCATAAAAGTATAGTAAAACAAATTATTATTATTAATTTTGATCATGATAGAAGAAATGAATAAAACAATATTAAAAACAATAATAAGAACCAATAAAAATACCGTTTTGTCTTTATAAAACCGTTTTTTTTTTCATGTAATAAACTAGGTAAACGTTTACTTACAGCATTTTAATAATTTAATCTTTGAAATTGATCTAAGTGGAATTCCATTTGAGAGTTAAATTTGTTGCATGTCTTTATCATTGGGTATTGAACTATTCCACTGACAATATGTCTGCTGCCATCCATAATTAAAACAGTTTTCAATATTCAACAAGCATAATTCATTTAAACGAATGCAATTAGAAGCCCTCACTGCATGATTTATCACTTTTTATCAGTTTAATGAAGATTGAAAATAGAAATATATGGAATGTTATTTTTATCTAAACTTATTTAAACAAAATTTCAATGCCTTTTCAATTTTCTTTTTCAAATTGAATTTTCGTTTCAGATGTTACTATTATTATCACCATTTAAAAAGGTTGAATGTTTTGTTGTGTACGCTTACGCTGTAAGCTTTTCGTAGATTTCTTTTGATGACGATCGTTTTGACGATTCATCATTACATCTGCTGGTTTTGTTAATGACGGTAGAAATGGTTTTAATCCGATTGAATAAGCTTGTGTAACTTTTCTTAAATTTAAATCATGTAATTGTTGTTGAAGATCATGTGAGGTTTTTGAACCAATCGATTTAGTTTGAAGATTATTGATGGACGCTTCCAAAGTTGTAGCTGAGTTATTATTGTGCCCTGTGGCACTTCTTATTGGACGAGTTATTTTTAATTCGCTATTGAATCTATTTCGTTTAATAGAAAAGTTTTGAAAAAAGAAACATTCATTCACTGAATGATTAGTAAACAGAAACAGAAATATAAGCCGAACAAAATTTACTCACAATATTGTGAAGAATATTCACAAAGGGATATGTTGTGGTAGAACGAATGTCGAAGAAAGCGTAACTTTGGGATTAATTTACGCCTAGTTACTATGCATACCTTTATTGTGTAATTAGTAGATAACAGCATTACTGTATTTCTATATTCTCCTTATTCTAAGCTTCCAATGAACTCACTAAGTATTGTTGTACGTTCTATTATTCCTTAATTATTGCTAACTGATCAGTCACCTTACCGTTCCGTTCTTTTACTTTTGGCGTAGCCACGCCGATATTGTGATTTTACATTTATATTGATGTGCGTTCAAGAAACTGATCGATATAAGTGTACGAGTTAGATCACATAAGGTACATACATTACTGCCTCATGTGTTCGATTACGGGACTAATGACAGGGCCAGGAGAAGAGCATACATTCTGAACTAATAGTAGCTAGGACTACTCATGGATTCAGACTCAACCTTTTAACCTTGCCATTTGAAGTGCATAGCTGGGTCGAAGCTTTAGACGCTAGGAGATAATGAAAACAGCATACGCAGAGTATAGAAACATTACATGGCTTATTGGTGAATCGCTTCTTTAAATATCGATCAATTTTTCGTTCATAGCAGGACAGTATGTGATAAAGTCTGTGAATTGCAGAAACTCCAAGGATGCCAGAGAATTCCTAGAAGCATGACACTCAGTCCATTAGCAGTTCACAGATATACACTTAATCTATAAATAATACGGAATAGGTCAATCAGTCTCCAGATCAGAGGTCAATCGGCAGACAGTCAAAATCAACGCAAAAAAAGCAAACGATGTAAGACAGAATCACAAACGAGGCTATATGAACAAACTGATAAAACAAATGTAGAATAACTGGAAAAACCACTTCTATATGAAAACAGTGCTCGAAATGTTGTCCCGAATGATAATGAAATCAAACTACCTAGCTCGGCGATCACAACGCAACCAAAAACAGTTATGTATGTCACTTAATATCTTCAAATACTGATTTATAGTATCATATGTTTATCAATGCATAAGCTTTTTATCTCCCTAAATACTGTAGATTGATAGTCGCTGATCTCGTGAGTTAATCATCATACATGTAGTACAAACAATAATGTTATGTAAACATTAACAGTTTCTAAGTATATATAATACACGCTTTAGCAATTTCATTTTATTTCAACCAAATAACCCATACGGTCAAATTAAAATATCATTTAAATGATACTGATGATTAAATATTCCATAAGCTATTCATATTTTTTTCTCCTCAAAAACGGTTTACAGAGAATGGTTAACCCTAGTTCAAATATATTTGAAGAACTCTCTAAAGTTAATAGTTTTTGGGAAACTTTTTGATAATAGTTATAAACTAGTAAAAATAATTTCTGCAAGTGTTTGTATCCTTCTGTTGTTAGTGCTGAAACTGGCCAGTTTGTTAGCATATGTCCACACAGTGCAGATTGTCCCGATACTGCCATTTAGTCACAAGTTTTAATTAGAGTTGGATAGTGACTAGTATCGTTTCGTCCTATCTAACACGGAAGTACTGGCATAGTAGTGTGAACATTAGCTTATCAACTGATCGGATATCTTTTTTTCCGTTCACAAATTTTATTTAGTTAACTTGGTACCTGTTACTCAAAGTTTTTTCTTACCACAAATGGCCTAATTATATAGGCTACCAAATGCCCTGGTACGGTCGAGAGTGAGGAGAGTCCGCTCTCCCTCTCGAAATGCTCTCATATGGCTACGCGTATATAGCCACTGCCAGGAAAGTCCTACTCACTGCCTACTCATGGCTGGTGTTATATACGAAATTGAGAGGACAAAAAGCGAATGTCCGTCGCCTTAACTGGGTTGGTGAACACGGATAGTCCGCCTAGGGGAGTTGGGAAACCTTGATTCCAAACCAATGGTGCACATGGGCTCCAGTATACTGAGGGAACAAATGGCGTATGAATCAATCATTGGTCACCGGCTACGATGGGACTGCATCTCCTTACGATGCTCCACTACCTTGTGGATCAGACCTTAAGGTCAAAGGCTCGGGGCGTGGCCCCATAAGAAAACCACCTGCTTCGGTTTGGGCACCCGGGCAGTATCACAGCCCTCACACAAATCAAATAAGATTTGTGTGGCGCATATGTATCTGGTGTCTCTTTGTACCAGTATTTATGTGTTCAAGTAAATAAATCTTCACTGCATATGATTTTCAATATGTAGTGGCGTTGTGATCTTGTAACTGGGTTTTCGAGTCAGAAAAATCGAAGGCAATTTGGTTTAGTTTTCTTACCAGATATAGGGATTAAGAAAAGCCGCGTAGAATAACAGATCATAAGATTTTTCGATAGTTGTGGTGGTCGTTTGCGTTATTGATTAACGCAAATGTCATTGGTCTGACTGGGATAAATTGAACTACTCATCGGTGAACTCTATACTCTAGTGATCCTATATAGTGAGCATATGAATTGTTACATTCAAAATAGTAATAATGTGACTATCCATTCAGATATATTTCAAAATTCCTTAAAAGAATTCTAGGTAATTCATATAAATGATGATAAGTAGTATGAAAAAAAACAGATACAATTATTGATCTTAATGAGTTGTGAATTAATTTTAAAAAGTCTCACTGTGCTAGATACACAAATAAAAACAAATATTCATACTTATTTAGAGACACGTGAAAATAAATCTCTTGATTTGAAAGATTTATCAGTAATTAGTTGTCTTTTTAGGAAAAAGACTTGAAGAAGTTGAAACAATAGTTCATCAGTTTATTTTAAGAATTTCGATGTGTTTGAACAAAAGACACTTTGTAGAGAGAAAAGAAAGCACTTTCATTACTACACTCAATATGTCATTAAACTTGTCATCTTCTCAATTGACATGTTATTTTTCTCTGAATTTTTTTCGTAACCCCCTTCTTTACAAACGATTCAACTTATTGAAAGAAATATTCGATCAGAAACAAGAGACCAGATAGATTGAAATGTTTTATTACTCTCAATGTATCTATCTATATATATGTATATGGGTTTTAAAGTATGTTAGTTAATAAGGTTTAAGTTGAATAGTATAAACAATTAAAATAGAAAAATTTTTACGTTTATAGAGAACTACATTCTTTTCTAGAAACTATAATCATTAATATCAATTAATCTAAGAGTTAATAAGATTTAAAATAAGGATGAAAGAAAAAAAAGAAGAGATATTTGGATAGTTTACTTTAGTTAAGATTTTGATGATGGTTGGTCACAATCATTAAGAAAATATACTTTCATACAAGTTGTAAAGTTTGTCAGTTAAAAAAATCAAGTGCGATAACAAACTCTCACACATAATGAATATCATATCCGTTAAATGAAAGTGTTTATCTGGACTGAGTAACTAAGTGAAGAATGTGTAGGTATTTGAAGTGATAGATATGAGTATTAGGTATACACGTGAGAGAGAGTCCTCAGTACGAATAAAACACGTTCTCTGAATTTCACAAATAACAACAATCTGTAAATTTTAGATAGTTGAAGGTACTCAGTAAGAAATCCTGTTAAGGTCTAGATTTCATGCTATTTGGCACTCATCAGTAAGATTTACCTGAAACTTTAAGGGAACTGACGCTCTTTTTAGGATTAAATTTCACGTTAGTCAGCTTCACATGCTGATACGCTACCATTGAAGTACTCGGGTACCGACTGACCTTCTGCAGTATTGAAATATTTATGATGAATTAGTCACTAAGTAGTGACCGATGTTATGCTTGTCTAGTCCTTTAGTGCTGATTGACTTCTATCGAACAAGTATCAATACGGCTACTTACCTAGGTGACTTGACACCACGTGTACTATGTCCCGATGCTAAGTGATCGTATATGGTCAGCAGAAAACCATTAAGTACAATAATAAGGAAAAAGTGTTACGCAACTAAAATGGAATTCCCGAAATATATTATATATACGCCATGACATCAGAGTAAAAGTCATCTGACTAATTATAAAATAAACCTTATTTATGAGGTTCATATAAATCCATTTTCTATCAAAATATGCAACGCTGACTGATGTGGGTCGGAAATGTACTAATTTATTGATCGTTAGTCCGGATAAAGTAATTAGTATCACCTGATCAAACTTCTGATATAATTAAAAACCGGTTAACTGCAACGATAAAAAGAACGTTCTATGCAGCAAAGCTGAGACTAACGTTCACTGGTACAAACTTGTCTTCTATATCCGTAAAGGATTAGCCTCCTCATCTGGCCGCCTATATGTGCATCTACCAGTTCTCCTGCTCTTGTGGAGCAAGTTACATAGGTCGCAGCCACCGCTTGCTTTTAACTTGAACATAAGAACACGTCTCAGTGTGGTTCTATGAAGGTGAGAGGAAAGCGGTTGGGAGGTCCATTTTAAATATCTAATCACTCCCCTGAACCACAGACTGGTTTTGAGGTCGTTTATGCAATTCTTCCAAACCCACCTAGATTTCTTTGTGTCCAACTCCTTAACACAGCAGAAGCTCTTGCCATCCATGAGTTGGAGCCAGAACTGTGTGTACAGAAGAAATAAATATTGTCCTTATCGTAATCTTGCCTTTAAACTATTATTATTAATACTATTATATTTCGTACTTGAAAATATCTTTCTTTCTCTTCAATTATTCCTCATACCATCGCTGTACAAATGAACCGCTCATTAATGTAATGATGTTTGATATGATCGACGGAGCATACAATTCCAATAATATATATCTCATGGCAAGTAATCTAGAGAGGCTTAACAAATACGCCACAACCAACAATCTTAGAAAGTTCTTAATTTTACAAAGAAATCAAACCATGAATTTTACCTTTACGGTAAATAGTGAAATGCTAATGGTATGTAGCATTTTAATTCTCCAAACCACCATCTAATAAACTGAATTATGAAACAATTGATCCTATCTGTTACGTAATATGATATTTTAGTAGGTTTATCTGATAAGTCATATGATATTTTTTGTTTAGAAGAAAATACTGTCATATTATTCACATACAATCATCATTTTTATATTTAATTGTTCAACAAGTTATTTTGTTTTTGATACACGTGTTAAAAGAGAACATTATAGAATAATCTAGTTTTTTTAATCATCAATTTATTACTGAATAATACTTTTCATTTTACGCTAATCGTCATGGTGATTAGTTTTGTTTTTTGTAAAACAGTTGAGTTGAAGAACAGTAATGAGCTTGTTGTTATATAAAAAATGTTTTGTTAATTTGTAAAGTGATTGAACCATGGGGGTTCTAATCTCTTTTAATTGTTTATAAATAAGCCTACATTGTGTTTGAGGTATTCTGTCAATTTGTATAACAGTGAAAGATATGAAATATCAATTTCTAACTTAGTGGTTTGAAAGTTAAGCTATTTTCACAAGGCTTGAAAGTTCTGTTTTAACATGTACATTGGAGATCATAGTACCGCGCTAATGCGGAATGTTGGGAAAGAGTAAAACAACCAGCTCATGTTCCTTGTTTTTTTAGTGGCTTGGAGCATCTGATATCACTTGTAAGTGAGAATCACCTGGCAGTTGTCTTATTAAACTTTTTTAATAACTACAAGTGTTTCGTAACAAATATATCTCATATCCTGGAAAGGAAAACTCGATTAAATGAATGATGAGCGATATTATTATTGTAATTCAGTGAATATTGGTAAAAAAAAGATGAAGAATAACCGGCAATATCATGAATAAAACAAACATGTCAAGTTTTAAACACCATTCTCATAGCCTCAATTCTAAATTATATGCATGAAAAGTTTTTCCTTTACCTGGCATCAATGTGGTTATCGACTGACTGATATATTTTGATCTTATTTCTTAAAAATAGTATCTTATATCTATTGATCATTGGAATTTATGCCGAAATATTGTTCTGCTATAATTATTTTAGAACGGAATATTCACCAACATACTTATAGATCAAATTAACCTTGAAAAGACCTTCACAAAGAAAGTGCTAAACTGAATAGCAACAAGGATTTTATTCAGTAGGAGACAAATATATAGAAATGATGAGATATTCAAGATTCAAAAAATATTAAACATGAAAGATTCTATTATAATTAATTCCAAAGTGCACCAAACAGCCTTCAGTTATTGTCTCATAACATTTTGAGTGTTGAGGCACGGGAGACCATAATCGTTTTACATAGACCATCCAGTTAGTAAATTGATAGGCTGTGAGGTTAGTGAGGTTAGACGCAGGGTATTAGGGAACGATGGTAAATCAGTTGATGAGGTGATGAATCTTCATCGACTGAGATGGTTGGGCCATGTGTTACGTATGCCTGAACACCGATTACCACGACGCGCTATGATGACTAGTGTAGGGGATTGTTGGAAGAGAGTTAGGTGCGGCCAAACCAAAACATGGCATCAGTGTTTGAAGTCACTAACTTCTAGTCTGGACCATGTTGGTAGATGCAGACTATTTGGTTGGGGTCCGCGTGACTATCGTAATAAATGGTTGAAGACTCTGGGTGACATGGCTCAGAATCGATCACAATGGCGTAGGTGCATACACTCTTTATCTTCCTTTAAACCTTGAGACTAAAATTGCTTCATATCTCTCTTCCTTCCTGTACTATATCCTTATATACAACCTTTCTTTTATATATTACCACCACTAAATTAATTACTTCTATGAACCCGGTGTTCATCTTGTTGTGCTAACGAGGTATGGCAACTTGGACCGATGCATAAATGTGCCTGGTCCTACGTTGTAGCTGACTGACTCATAGGCTGATCTGCTTACTTAATACAAGTACCACTACTACTCGTTTATAAACTGTTTACGTCATACAGGAATGAAACGAAAACCCAAAGTATTATACAACGGAACTATACATGCATATTGAAGTAAAACAGTAATAAAAGACTTACATTTCTTCATTTTTTAATGAACCACGTGTAGGTGAATGCTTTGTATTGTTTGTATTTATTTTATATTGTTCATTACTTAGTGAAGCTTGAATAAGTGGTTTTCTAAGACTTAATGCAGGTAATCGAAATGGTAATAAGTGTGTATTGATTAATTCATCATTTGATTCGATTATTTCCTCTTCTTGTTTTTCAAAAACATGTTCATTATCATACGAATGAAGAATACTTCGTTTTGTCAATAAATTATTTCCTGGTATACTCAGCGTTGTTGATGATTTATTCGGAACTGAATGAGAAGTGGTTGGTATAAGTTTATTGACTGATAATGTTCCAGTTGTAGGTGCAATCGGGTTCTTATTTACAGTGACTGTGTCTGTTATGAACTGAGAATTTTTCATAGATAGAAAGATTAGAATTCATGGTATTTAATGAATATTATCCCAGTTTGGACTTAATAATACTAGTAATAAGATTAAATTTTAAAAAAACACCCAGTATGATGGAAGGATTGAGTTATTTTTATTTCAGCCAGTTAGTCAGTTTTATAAACAACGTAGAATTAGGCACATATGTGCATCAATTCAAGTTTTCACATTATTTAAAAATACAAAGATGAAGTATCAGAACCAATAATAGAGTAGTAGAAGTGTTAAAAAATATTAGGTGGTAGTAGAGAAGATTAATTACAGACAATATCATTCCTAAAAGTATGAATTTGTGGGGTAAAAAGTATGAGGATACTAAAACTTAAAGTTAAGAGGAAAAGAATAAGTGAAGGCATCTACGTTACTGTGATCGATTTAGAACCGTGCTACTCAACATCTCCAACTACTGATGATAATTGTGCGGACTTAAGCCTGGTGGTCTACATCTACCAACCTCTGCGATGAAAGCTAATTAGGTACATGTTAAACTTACTCTGTTGTAGAGTGCTTTGTAGATAGCCACTTAGAAGGAGGAGTAAATAATCCAGATATTGATGGATGCAAGTTGATAAGCTTGCTGATTTCGATACTTGGTATTAGAATCCTGTGACTAATTTTTAAGTTACTTACCTAATCATTTTACTCCGGGAAGAGTATTTTCAAAACTATAATTGAATGGCGAAAATTCCGTAGAGTTCAGACAAGTTTAGAGTGGGACAGGTGTCATCAATTTTCGATGATTGAGCTATATCTTGCATCAAATGACGTTAAAAACGAGAACCATTATTTTCTAACTCAGTGATCTGAAGTTAATGCGTTCATCATAAGATTTGAAGGTCCTAGGTTCGATTCCTGATGGTGACGTAGGGTATTGTTGTTGTGAACTCCAGTGTAGAATGACACAATTGTATAGGTTTACCTAGTTATCAATAATTATTCAGATGAAGTCATTATTGTATGTAAACCATCTTCAAGATACTTTGTATTACAAATATGGCTAATTAACGTATAGCCCAGTAATATATCTTCGAATGAAAAATAAAACATTTATTTTATACATATCAATAAAACATATTTTTAATCGGTATTAATACTACTTCTAACGGTCTTATTTCCTTCTTAGTATTATTGTTATCCATTAATGATGATATTTAGTAGCGTGAGTTATAGGACTTTATTTTGATGTTGGTTTGGTCGACCAAACCATCCAGTTCAGAGAACAAACCAACATCAAAATCACCCACCTGAGCTACAAATCTTCTCCACCATCTCATAAGACTTTATTGCTATATTAATTTAAACATTTCGTTAAAGCAAAATCTCTTGTTTAAAATGTTGAGAGTTTGAAATCGGTAGCTATACACTTTAAAGAATAAGCAGACAAAATATCTCATATATACGGCATGTAAGTACAAAGTGTAAAAAGACTGTTATTGGATGTCATATACACTAGGTCTGTCTAAGCACATTTGATTTGTCTGATGGACATGACTTGTATGATAAATCAAAAAGGTTTTAAAGCATTATGTACATATCTTTGTTATCACACAGATTTTAAATAGGCTTCATAAACTAGGTTTTATTTACTTGAAAGTTTATTAGAAATGACAGCTGAAATAAACTAAAGTCAGTACTGTGTATTTATTAGATGGTGAATAATTTCATGCTTGCAGTGAAACATACATGTTTCTAACCAATTTTAATGAAACATGAGCTGTTGATTATATTTAAAAGCATCACTATAAAAATCAGGTAATCAAAAACTTGCAATGCGTATACCTCTATTCGGTCACAGTACCATAAGTTGTACAATAAATAACTTCACAGTTCTCGGTCATTAAACATCTATCACTAAAATTATTAGATGTATTTTCGTAGGACAATTGAGGATATGTAACTGAACTTTAAACTTCAATACACTGTTACCTAAACTCATGAAAGTTGAATTTCTTAATAATTTACAGTGCTTTATAAAATACTATTAACAATGTAATAGAATAACAACAATAACTTACATCAGCATTTTTGTTCGAGACATCTTGACATCCTTTTAGGAATTCACTATTATCATGGTGAGTTTGACTTTTGTTTAAACTCTGGAACATTTCATCATTCTTTGAAATATTCTTCTGCTCTGAATACGTCGACAATCGTCCATTTTTACACGCAAATCTTGGAAGTCTAATTTAAAACATGAAAAGGTGAAAAAAAACCACTAGTTTAACGGGCTATTATTAATGAAAGAACAATTCTAAGTCAGTTACATTTCAAAATGAATGAGTAAAATATGTACAAGTGAAAAAATAATTGTGACTAGATGGTTGGATTAATATCTACTCATTTTAGACAAATCAGTAGTTGATTAGTTAAATCACTAAGTGTATATTTTCCCTATAAATCGTAATAGGATTGCATAAGGAGTCAGTCGAAGTTGAAATTTAAATAATGAGATTAGGCTTTTCAAAGTAAAAATAGGTTACTTCACCTCATATAATTTCAGTCGAAAATCTCAAAAATTACTACAATAATGTGCTAATGTAGGTGGCCCTATAGGGTAAAACCTACTTTAGTACTTTAAAACGACCACTTTGGAAATCATAAGATAAATCAAACTAGAAGAGAACATTCGTCAAATAATAAGTTGCACTTTTTAAAAACCATTGCCTCAATCTGATGAAAGCTGAAAAAACATTCTAAGGATTATCTATTTACACTCACAAATCAAAGCTGGATTGAAAGTGAGTAGGGTTACAATGAACCGGACTCGATCGAAATGAAAGCTACGAGTGAGCGAATACAGACAACCTTGAGTATGCCACATTTTCAATTGGAATTCGGTGTTTTAGTGGACATATGTGCATCCTGTGCAGATTATCTCGATATAGCCATTATAACAAGTTTGTATGGAATAGGTGGCATGCGTCTAGAAATGGAAGCTGGGACGCGCCTCTCGTCCTACTTGAAACTCATCAGCTGAATGTACTTGGGTACCAAAGTTGATGTCCACATATTTTTTTTTACCTTCTCTGTGTGTGTGCGCTTATAGCGCTAAACTTTGTTGTCCTTTTCTCCTCTCTCCATTAGGTAATGATCACGATTTCGACAATTGTCGCACAATGAACAACATCAATAAATAGAGATCAGTTCCTGGGAACATTTTGATCGCGTGATGGTTAAAGAGCGATTTTGTATAAAATTATCAAACCTACATGCATTTGTAAGTATCCAGATGAGACAGTCTACATACAGGTATGTCTCGGTTAATAAGTGTTAAAACTAAATACAAATAAAAACACTCCGCGTCTCCTACTTTGTCTATAGCTTAGAGTCCTCAGTCTTGACGTAGTTATACTCTTATCAGTCCATTTATTCACAAGACTATCTTTATAATCGTTAATATTTCCCCATCTGTGTATGACTAGTTACCTATTTTTACGATGTAATGTAACCTAGTTTATCGTGTACATAAGGTGTTCAGTGTTTAAGATATATTCTAGATAGCTGGGTTGGGTAGTTAAAATATAATGACAGAATCTTAGCTGGAGATTTCTTTTTTGATTTAAGGTTGAGGGTAGAGACGTTCTTGGGGATAGAAGGACTAACAGAAGTATAACTACATCAACTCAAGGTTAGGTGTCCGCCAGAACGTAACACTGATCAATACTGCAGACTCTAGGCCATAGGCGAAGTAGGGGACGCAGGGAAGGAATATTATAATGGAGTTTTCTGATTGCTCAATTCAGGAAGTAATATCACTCAACTCAGACGTCAGTAACCGATATGACAAAAAATGAAAAGAATAGATAAGATCATTCACCAAGTGGGAAAATAGTAGTTATCGCTTACCGTAAAGAAACATCAAAAAATATAAATGGTTTTACAAAAGTTTATTTTTAAACTAATGATACAGTGAAATCCATCCATTGCCAAGAAGGTACAAGTATTTATAAACAGTTGTTTACGCAAAAAGCTCAACATTCACCGACCGGATACTATCAAACAGAGTTTTATGGGAGAGGACAAACCAGCTTCCAGCTGAAGAGGAAATTAGGAAAAGGCGTTGGAAGCGGATAGGACATACATTACAGAAATCACCAAACTGCATCACGAGGCATGCCCTCACTTGGAATCCGGAGGGGAAGCGGAAAAGAGAAAGGCCAAAGAACACATTATGTCGGGAAATAGAAACAGATATGAAAAGAATGAATGTTAACTGGAAAAGATTTCCCAGGATAGGGTTGGATGGAGAATGGTGGTGGGCGGCCTATGCTCCTCCACGAGGGATAACAGGCGTAAGTACAATGAAATCGGTACTATGGTAAGTAGATAAGATGTCAAAAGAGGGACCAGACTATGTTTGTGAAATGAAGTGTTGAAGCGGTGTTCTTTGCATTTGACTAGAATCTTATTTATTAGTCAAAACGACGTGTTAGATACCTGATGTATCTTTCTGTACTCCAGTAAGTGTTAACAAAACAAATATCCAATGCTAACTTAGAATTCTACCTGGAAATGGCTTAGCCGACTTGTCGTCATTGACACTCATAACTAAACGTACATCATAAATCATTGTTTTATTTAGTAAATTAGAAAGCTAGGCTTATTGTAATTTATTGTTAATATAATCTTTCAGTGGGTTGTATTTGAAACCAAATCCTATCCATGATGTTTCGAACTTTCACCCACGATTATTACAGTCTAAAGAAAACAACAAACTCCGAGTAAATGTACAGAGTGCAAACAGCTTTGCATAATAAACTTTTAGTGGCTATTGAATGTTAATATTGAAGTTAGGAAAATATATTTAATTTACCTACTTTTTATTTGTCTTGTTAAGTCTCCTGAAGCTTTATCAAGTTTGTCATCCAACTTATAAGCAACAAATACCACTCAGTATAATAATCCATTCTCAACAGTCCTTCTGTAACCGATCATTTGAAAGGTCAAATAAACGTAGAGTATACAGGTTATACAACTCAAACGGAACTGTAAGCTGATTAAATCCAAAGTCTTTTGATATTTATTCTGAAAAACTTAAAAAATCTGTTCCATTCCTGATTACACCTTTAAAGGATGAGGTGATAACTTACAAATAGACGACATGGATTCAACTAGCAAAGAGGCAGATAGAGTAGATAGGTGGAGCAAACATCAGTAAGATTACAGGTTGGAAAAAAAGAAAGGTAATCTTCACAACTGCTCTGCCTTCGCATACTAAAATAATCTTTGCAAAAGATTAAAACTACTATCCCAAGACCAAAAAACAGGGATAAATAAATAAACTTCATATACCCCAGAAAAAAACACAAAGTAATCAATGATACCACCTATTTTACATAAACTTGCGTCATAATGGCTGTACAAAGAATGCACGTATGCCAAATAAAACTGATCGAATATCAGCTAAAAATTTCAACCATAAGGTAATCTAAATAATAGTCAAGTAAGTCTGTGATGCTTTATAAGGGGTTTTGAAATGCTAAAAACAGGTGAGCGGATGTCTTAATACAAAATATAAGGGATTAGCACTACTATGATTTCAAGGCGTTTTTTGTCTTTTAAAAGACAAACGTTTGATGAAAATGCTTACCCTTTGACAGGATTATGGGATACTTGCAATTCCTCCAATTGTTGCATCAAACGTGCATTCTTCTTCCTTTCGTTTTCAAGATCTTCCCGCAAAATCGATATTTCCTGTTTTAGTGAGTTCTCTTCTTTGGTTTTATCTAGTTATTGCATCATACAATTAAGATTAGCCTAACTTTGTGGTAAATAATCATCAGAATAGCCAGCAGAACACGTACACATTACCAGACGATATTGCAAGTCTGAAAAAATAGAAGTATACGAAATATCCACAACCTTTATTAATTCTTTTCAAAGACTCAATCTCTTGATGCAAACCTTTCAACATGGACTCATGCTGCTTTTGTAAAAAAGCTATGCTCTTGTCTAGTAGGACTTTACGACTGTCGTCACCTAGTTTAGAAGGGCTGATAACAGGTGCTTCTCTTTTACTGGAAGGGGACATAATAGTCTCAACTTTCTTATCTCCAAGTGCATCAGTTTTGGTAGGAAAATTATTAAGAACAATCATAGTCAAGAATTCAGTCTACGGAAACGAAAGTGCGATTAAGTATTTCATATGCATTGTATTCTTGTTCTCAGTTGAGGTCCCTAATTTTAAAACCTATGGACGAATTCGTCCTCTTAATTAGTGAGCCAAAGCTCATAGTCGACCGAATCTACTATCCTTGAAGAATATAAACAAAAACAATAACATAAGGCCTAAGATTCCTTAGTGATCGCAGTGAGAGCTTAATACCCTGTAATTAGTAGGCTCACAAACGTTCAAATGGTTGAGGACAGAATAGAAGAAGCTTTCGCTTAACGGGCTTCCGTGTCTAGTAGCAGTGGATCACCAATACCTCCAGGCAAAAACCTAGGTATATGAACGATAATAGAGGGAAAAAAGAAATTGGTAAATCATAATAATATGTTATCCTTAGTCCTTAAGAATAAGTCAAGTTTCCTCATAAAGGACTCCTGGGAGGTCTCTTGGACTAGCTCAGTCGGCAGCGAATTCCAGCACTTGACAACTCTAACGGAGTAGAAGTTGTGTCTGCAGTCTGTTCTGCTATGCAGGGTCTTCAATTTCTGGGTGTTTCCTCTTAGGTTAATGTTATGACTAAGCTTAAGAAGTGTTTAAGGGGATGACCAGAAGTATTAAGGATACTGTAAGTTATAAGAAGGTCACCTCTAAGACGCCTGTACTCTAACGGGTAAAGGTTAAGTGATTGGAGGCGCTCTTCGTAAGGTTTGAATTTGAGTCCCCGAACTGATTTCGTGGCTCGACGTTGTATACGCTCCAGAGTGTCCTTATCCTTTTGGAGGGAGGGAGGTAGGAAATACTATGTTTCCGTACTCTAAATGGGGACGAATAAAACTGTTGAAGATTATGTGGAAGGTTCTACCGTCAAACTGGCCAAAAATGCGCTTCAATGTTACCAGTGCAAGGTTTGCTTAAGAGGCGTTTTCGTTACAGTTCGCGTACGATTTCAGGTCGTAGGGTGCCAACACTCCTAAATCTTTTTTCGACTTGAGAAACTTCTAGAGGGGAGTTACCCAAGTTGTAACTATAGTCTGCAACATGTTGCAGATGGACTACTTTACACTTTGAAGTGTTGAAGGTAAGTCCGTTGTCGTCTGCCCAACTCTGAAGTCGAGTCAGATCCTCCTGAAGTACTAGTATATCATTATGGTTACGTATCTCTCTCCAAAGTTTCACATCATCAGCAAAAAGCAATAAGTCAGATGAAACTTGATGAGTAAGATCATCAATGTAAATCAAGAAAAGAAGAGGTCCTAGTAATGAATGCTGGGGGACCCCACTAGGACATTCCATAGCCTGAGAGAGAGTGAAGTTAACCCTGACCTTAAAATGTCGGTTTTCTAGATATGAAGTGAGCCAGTCAATCAAAGGGGGTTTGATACCCAATCGTCCAAGCTTCTTGATAAGACATACGTGGTTGACCCTATCAAAAGCTTTTGAGAAGTCCAAGTAGATGACGTCAACCTTCCCCTTGCGATCAAGGATGATTGTCCATCTATCCACCGCAGTCAGCAGGTTGGCCATACAAGAATGACCTTTTCTGAAACCATGCTGTTGAGGCGAGAAGAACTTTGAGGATGATAAGTATTCTAGTATACCGTCGTATATTAAGGATTCCATAATTTTGGAAGGTATGGAGAGAAGGGCCACTGGTCGGTAGCTTCAGGGTTCACTGTGTCGACCTCCTTTGAAAATTGGCGTGATGTGAGCCAGTTTCCAAATTTCCGGTAGTTTGCCTCTGCTTAGCGAGTGTGCAAACATCACGCTAAGTGGTGTCGCCAGGATTGAAGCTGCTTCCCTCAAAACAGCGGAATGAACCATATCCGGACCAGTAGAAGTGTCTTTTCTTAGGTGCTGTAATTTACGGAGCACCAGGTCAGCACTCAGGTCCACTTCGGAAAGTCCTGTACAGGTGCAGGTGAAGCTTTCGTCAGTATAGTTGATGTGTGTTAGCTGGAATGTCTGAGAGTATTGTTCAGCCAAAACTCCGCCTGTAGCTCCTCTGGGGATTACTGCCGGTCCCAAGCCCGGGTAAAGGAGGAGGGTTGGGCATGGGGTTAGCCACCCCATTCCGTAGAAAATCAACTCGCTAAAAAACGCTAACCAGAAAAAATCATTCAAACCATTCAAACTCTGCCCTGAGAGTAGAAGGAATAATTATGACGTCTCATGATGCAAGCCGAGTTCTTCCGGAAGTCATAAGGCCGATGCACCTTCTGAGCTGATATAGCATCCAATCATCATTTGCTGGCCGCCAAGATGAAACCAAAACTTAAGAAGCAGTGGACAACGGCGCGAACAACATCACAAAAGTTCAACACGGCCTTTCTTCGAGATGCTGACAAACTCAACAAAATCAACATAGCCCTCAGCAACAGGTTCCAGGCCTTTCATGATCTACTCAATTGAGAGAGAACTACCCTGGAGAGCGATGACAGCGGAAAAGGCTGCAAGAGAGGGAAACATGAGACAACTGTATGACACAACAAAGAAACTTGCTGGAAATTACCGTAAGCCAGAAAGACCAGTGAAAAGCAAGGAAGACAAATTAATCACCGACATTGAAGAACAATGAAACAGGTGGGTAGAACACTTCAAAGAACTCTTGAATCGACCAGCTCCACTAAACCCACCCAACATCGAAGCAGTACTCACAGACCTCTCAATCGATGTTGGCCCACCAACAATTGAATAGATCGGCATGGCCATTAGACAAATCAAGAGCGGCAAAGCAGCGGGACCAAACAACATCCCGGCAGAGGCACCGAAAGCAAATGTAACAGCAATTGCCAAGATACTCCACATCCTCTTCAGTAAGATTTGGGATGAAGAACAAGTACCAACAGACTGGAAAGAAGGACTTCTGATCAAGATACCAAAGAAAGGCAATCACAGCAAGTGCGATAACTACAGGGGCATCACTCTTCTATCACACGCAACAACAAATGCAGTAGAAAACGACCAGTGTAGCAGCAGCCTCAGCAGCAGTAGGTCTCAATTTAAACAAAGGGAAAAGCAAGATTCTGCGATACCAGACAACATGTATCTATCGAATCACACTTGACGGAGTAGCTTAGAAGAATGTGAAAACCTTTACATATCTGGTCAGCATCATTGATGAACACGGTGGATCAGATGCAGATGTGAGGGCGAGGATCGGCAAAGCAAGAGCAGTATATCTGCAATTGAAGAACATCTGGAACTCAAAACAATTGTCAACCAACACCAAGGTTAGAATCTTCAATACAAATGTCAAGACAGTTCTACTCTATGGGGCAGAGACGTGGAGAACTACGAAAGCCATTATCCAGAAGATACAAGTGCTTATTAACAGTTGTCTACGCAAGATACTTCGGATCCGTTGGCCAGACACTATCAGCAACAAGTTACTGTGGGAGAGAACAAACCAGATTCCAGCGGAGGAAGAAATCAGGAGGAAGCGCTGGAAGTGGATTGGGCACACTTTGAGGAAATCACCTAATTGTGTCACAAGGCAAGCCCTCACATGGAATCCTGAAGGTCGAAGGAGAAGAGGAAGACCAAAGAACACATTACGCCGATAAATAGAGACAGACATGAGAAGAATGAACAGAAGTTGGATAGAACTAGAAAAGAAGGCCCAGGACAGAGTTTGTTGGAGAAAGCTGGTCGGCGGCCTATGCTCCATTGGGAGTAACAGGCGAAAGTAAAAGTAAGTAATTGTTCAGCCAAAAGTTTGGCGGCATCACCGTCATTATCGGTCGGGCCATTAGGACCAAGCAGTTGGGAAACTCCAGTTTTGCCTTGTCGAAGAGAAGCTGCGTAATTGAATAAGCTTTTCGGATTAGAGACGAACTTATCGATAAGCTTGGTCTGGAACTGAAGCCTGTCTTCTCTTATTGCCTTTGAATATATGTTCCTTATGCGTTTATATTGCCTTTATGCGTCGTTATTGTCGGTTCATTTATATTCGGCCCAACAGTGCCTTTTGCGGCTTAGCAAACGACGAGTGCGGTTCTTGATGATTGGAGGTTGTTTGTAGCTTTTTGGGACCATTTGAGGAACTGAATGCTCAGTAGCACATAAGATCGTGTGCAGTAAAAAATCCCAATGAGCATCCACTTCAAGTTGAGGGTGAACATCCCAATCCACCTGTTGTAGATAGTCATGTAAAGCTAACACATTCAACCGTTCGTTGATAGTAGGATATCTTAGCTCCGTTTTGCCGACAAAGCTGAATGATAAGACGGCGTGATCAATTTTCCCCAGGGGAGCCAGGATTGAGAGTTCGTTGACTAGGAATTCTTCATTTGTGAATACCCAGTCTAAGCGCGACGGCGTCTGACTGTTTCTCCGAGTTGCTGACTTCACATTTTCGAATAATCCCAGGTCGCCGATGAGGTTGAAGAACAGAGCTTCAGTAAAGTTGTCACCTCCAATGTAAGTATGTTCCGCGAAGTTGATTCTAGGAAGATTGAAGTCCCCTAGAATCAGGATTTGAGAGAATCCGAGACGCGTAGAGCGAATTAATCCTTCCAGCAGACGTTTGTCATACTCGATGTCGGCAGTTGGCTTCCTGTAGATGACCCCAACTAGACACCTCGAGGTGGTAGACAATCTTACTGAGCACCATACTGACTCATCAAAATTGAGAAACTCTTGGTTGTGAAGTTGGTGCGCATCCAGGATGTTAAAGTCTATGTATGAAGAAGTTATTTATTTTTGTTTGATATCAGTTTTCATAGATAAAGTTAGTACATTGTAACTGTAAATAATTCCCCAAAATCAATAGCTCTGTAATTGTCCGACATTGGATGCTCACCACATTAGTTTTAGTGGACTCGTTTAGCTGAAGGCGTTCGGTCATGCATCCGTACCAGATCACGTTACAGAACGGCATGGGAAGCATCTCCTACGATCATTAGCCAGATTAGATCAGTCACTTTTCGATGTATTGAAAACCCGTCAAATATACCTTCCAACCTCCTCGCTCCTGACTTCTGATTTTAACTGGGTGGGCGTGATTCGATTATAGGTAATACTGGTGAAGAGCTGTCAAACTACAATACTGGTGGTATCTTCAACATCGACCGACCTTAAAGAATAGTCTTTGTTGTTCAGACGAATGTAATGGGGGTTGTGGATCACTTAGAATGTGTCTACCCCTGAACATTGTCTTTCCGTTGAGGTCTTGTTTCTTTCTAAACGCATTCGTCATTGTAGTTGATGTAACTTGA